TTCCCGAAAGCCACAGATCCAAATCTCACTGTTGCCCAAGTCTCTCCAAAGACACATTTTTTTCTCGCATCATTTAAATTGGCCTGGTTTAGTCAGAAAACAAGGTAGAAAAAAGTAGATTCGCCGGGGCATCTCGACGTGGCGCGCGGCCGTCCACTAGCCACTCTCCTGGGCAGGGACCACAACACGTGGCGGCACTGACGCCTCGTCAGCGCCGTGGGTGGGCTTTATCCGACCGCAGGCCTGCCACGATTGCCCTAGAGCGAGTGGCTCCAGCTCAGCGCACGTGTCCCTGCCGGGCTTGCTTTTAATTTAACTCGAGTTGGCCGGACTGAGGCTGGCGGACTGGCGCTGTTTGTGGCGGAGAACTTTACAAGGCCCAGCGAAAAGGTCTTTTCTTCCGTGAGCTGGGGAGATCTAAGGATCCAGCCACAGGAAAAAGTCGCCACAATGAAATGCCCCAGCCCCTCCTTTTTTCTTCGCTTTCAGTCAATCAATGCCGTCCGATTGATGCAAATGCCACATTAGGGCATTTTGGCGGTGCAAATGCCGCATTAGGGCATTGTGGGTGGCGGGGCGCATTTTGTCCGTATGTTGGCAACGTCGATAGACAAGTCTGCCACCTTTGTTCCCCACCCAACGTGCCGCTGCTATCTTCTCTCTGGGAGTGTGTGTATGTGTTCAGGCCCGGGGGCAGGGCGCGGTCGGTCCGCCACCGAATTGAAAGAATGTGAGTTGTGTGTGGGCTTGCAACACCCATGCACGCACTTTTCTTCTGCGCTTTTCTAGATTAGGGTGGTGGAGGTGGGGTTGGTTTTTTTTTTTTTTTGGGCCAAAGAGCGTGTAGCATTTGAATTTTGTCGAGGCTTAGCCCACTTCTTTGACCGCTTTCCGTATTTTACCTCCAAAGTTGGGGACGGTGGCAAAGCTTGTGTGAATCTCTCCAACTTGGCCTAGTTGTTTGAATTGGCATCTGGGCTTGGGCAAGCAAAGTTGTGCCTCTGGGCTTTCTTGGTTTGTTAGAAGCATCACTTTAAGTCCAATTTTTTTATTCATTCCAGGTGGAGAAATTCTACGAAGACGAAAGAAGGTGGCCCCAAAAGAACGAGCTGGCCCCTCCATAGCGAGAACATTATCGAGAAATATATCCCCTCCTTTCCATCCAGCCACATTTCACAAATATCTCTACGGGAGTAAAAAAGGGCTTCTAGTGTGCCTTTCGTCCTACACGTGTCTCCCGGCCAGAGCTGGACGCGTGTCCAGCCCTCCGTGGAAAAAAGCAAAAAGCGCACGCCCTGGCGGAAATCGACGGCTCCAGATGCCTACACGTCGGACGCGATACTGTACGGTTTTTCTATTATTGGGGTCGCGCGAACGGGAAGAGAATATGCCGTTGAAATATCTTTTTTATAAAGGAGAAAATATCGGACCCGTTGGTTAAGTTTTCCCGGCTGGGGAGAATCGGACGAGGGGGTAGGTACGTACGAGCGCGCAGAGAGGCTCGGGCGGCAGGGTCGGAAAAGACGGTAGCAAAGTTATACTTTTGCGGCCCGAGGACGGCCTTTTTGCACTTTATGGATTAAAACTAATCCCCAATCTTGACCGTCCTTAAAAGTAACGGACGGTGGGATAGCTACCGAAATATGAAGCACGAGATAAAGGGATTTGTTCGCACTGCTGGTGTAGTAGTAGGGTTTTGAGAGCGCTAGCGGAGAATGCCGCTGCCAATCGCCTAGGAGCGGTCGATCGAGCGTCGCGAGGTGGGAATTCTTGCTGCGGAGCGCGTAATCTTGGCGTGCGGAGGCGTTTTGCGTCTTCTTGCGGCGATTTCCATCGCAATCGGCGATCTCTTCCCATGGAGCTCCTGCACGAGCTGAATTGGAAGACGTAGCAGCTGATCGGCTGGCTCTAGAGTCTTCTTTCCAGGAATCCCACAAATTTCGCATTCTCTTCTTCCCCGCTTTCTTGCGATGAGTTCGAATCCCGCCGTGGGCCTGCAACAGGTAATGTTTATCTATCCGTGCGATCTTCGAGGAAATCGTTGCTAAAATCTGGGTTTTTGACAGGTTAGAAAGCCCTACACTATCACCAAGCAGCGCGAGCGCTGGACCGAGGAAGAACACATTAAATTTGTGGAAGCACTACAGTTATTTGGACGAGGATGGCGTAAGATTGAAGGTACGAGCATAAGTTTCATCACATTTCTTTGACTAAACTATGGATATATTGCAGAGCACATCGGTACAAAGACGGCTGTGCAAATCCGCAGCCACGCTCAGAAATTCTTCTCTAAGGTGTGCTTCACAGCCTTTTGCGGAAAGTGAGAGTGGCTTTAACTCTTTCATTGCGTATAGGTGGAACGAGACAAAGGCAGTGCAGGACAGCATATAGAAATACCACCACCACGACCAAAGCGAAAACCAAGCCATCCATATCCGAAAAAGGCCGGCGTGAACTCGTCGGACGACACGACACCGGGCTACTTGTCAAGCACTCCTAGCTGTTTGGAAGAACACACCACAACCGCACAGGTGCTTAAAACCCGACTTTAGCTATAATCCCGCATTTCTCTTACTGACTTTGGATGGATGTTTGCGCAGTCGATCGAATGCACTGGGAAGAGTGGAGCCAGGAAAGGTCTCAAGCTGTTTGGACAAACTGTGCTTGTGGGTGAGCCATCCCCAAGCACGGATGAAGATGAGGCGCAGCAGCTAAAAGAAGTTTCATCGGGTCCAGAGGAGGAGAGTGGAGTAGAATCTGGAGCAAGCGATCTCCTGCAGAGGACAAAGTGTGGATCATCAGAGGAGACAAGGCTGCCGGCGAGTGCTAGGAACCACTCGGAGGTCTCGTCGCGTAATCAAGAGTTAGAAAACGCCGAACCGCAGCAGCAGCAGCAGCAGCACGCGCCTGTACAGCTAAAGGACCATCAAAACACGGTGAACAACCTTATCGTCTTGCACTACGCGGCGTTTCTAGCGGGTATTCATCCTCACGTTGGTCAAGTTAATCCCTGGCAACTCCTGACTCCACAGGTGCTAAAACCACAGCACGAAATCCTCCGGTGGCACTCCATGACGGATTCTAACAGTCCCAGCGCTGTGGACAAGAGCAGCAACTGGGACGCTTCACAAAATGACAGGAAGAATGACACTGACGACGAGGTCGCGGTCCTCGAACAGAGCAAACGCAGGAGACTAAACTCCATTAACGAGGTGTGTGTCTCCAAAAGTTTCTCCTTTCTTTATTTCGTGTTTGCTGATCGAATCGACAGTCGTCCATGCAGGAAAAGAGCAGCAGCTCGAGTACCACGACTTCTTTGCTTCATGGCGACGACGAAGCCGGAAGCTGTACACAAGCGTGTTCGAATTTGTCAACTCTATCTTCGCACGGCTCTCCGCGGGGAGGATTTGTCCCTTACAAACGGCCCTCCGCGGTGGACAACGCACAGCGGGGAGAGCGAAGATGATAACATCTAAGCGGAAGAAAGCTAACTACGGTTTGTAAGCTATTGTCTACAGTGTGTTCATAGCGCTCTCACCTGGCTCTTTCTTTACCTTTCGGTAGCAGACGCTCGATCGGGAAAAAGAGAGAAAAAGAAAAGGCCGTGAAAATATATATACGGAAGAAATCTTTCCTTCTTCGAGGCGAGTGGAAAGCTCGTTTAAGGATCGCTGTTTAAACCACGCCACCCAGCGCGAAACTCTTCGCGGTACGCATTCAAGCGAGCCTTGAGATTTGGAGTCCGCAAGGACATGTGTAGAAGCGTGACTGTGACAAGAACGTAGATTGGGTACAAAGTAAGATGAGAATGGCGAGAACTTACGAATGAATCCCAGAGCGAGTGCGTAAAGGACGGTCTTGAAGGCCGAGGATATGTACCAAAACAACGCGCTCACTGTAGAAAGCTTAGCGTCAAACATGGAAACTTAACTTCGATCCAAGAAAAACTATGGAAACTTTGCGAACTCTAACTTCGGTCCAAAGAAACCACGCAAACTTTGCGAAAAGAGAACCGGGCACACCAGAAAAAGCAAAATAGAACTTAGATATGAAGAGAAAAGAGAATACGTACGTGATAGAATGCTTAAAACGACGATCCTGCGATCTGTGCCACAAATGTACACGTTTCCTTTCAAAGGACGGCCCCGTACTCCCACACTGCACACAAGTTGGACGAGAGAAAGATCAAGAGATTCGTGGCAAGAAACTCGAGAAAACTCACGACGTCGGTGGTCTCATCTTTGAAGCAAGAGGAGGAGATAATCTTCGGATCGCTCGCGTTAGCCTCTCGTTCACGGACAAGGCAAAGCTGACAAGAAAAAAACAAAAAAATTCGTGAGAAAGAAGAGAAAGATCGATCGAACGAGAAAAAACCTGTCATTGAGACACGCAGTGCCAATGCTCGAGATGAGAACCGCTATGAACGCTAGAGGATTACGGATGAAGCCTATGCCTGTGACGACGAAGAAAAAAAAAAGGATGAGAGAACTCACGAAAGATAGAGCTCAAGAACTTACAGAGGATGAAAGCTATGGAGAGGAAGTAGTTCGTTCTATAGCTGCAAGAAAACAAAGAGATTTTTGAGTGATCTTCGATGAAATGGAAGCGCAAGAACTTACTAGTAGAGGTTACACTTGACGCGGCTCTCCCATTTGGCCCTGGTCTTTGGAATCGCGAATTTGGCGAAGAATTCAGCTAGCGGCCTCGGCGGCGTCGTCCACTCCACCTCCTTGAGCGCATTGACGAGCTCCGCCAGTTTCACATTGCCCCAATCCATCGCGTAAGGGCCAGTACCTCCAAGAGATCGCGCGTCTCGCAGATCGCTGTCGCTCCACTGGGAATCCACACATAAACCCTAATTCGAGAGTTCCTTGTTTTAGGGCGAGGAAGAAAAGGGTAAGTTTTGCGGGGAAATTTCCGCGGTGTAGAGGATGATCGAGTGGGAATGGAATCTCTTCCTCGACGCCCCGAGCTGGAGATCCAGAAGGTTGTTCTTGCAGCGATCAGGGCTTCTACCAGGTCCAAAGATTTGAATCGGGGGAAGCAAATCCATGCCGCTGTGGCGGCGAGCTGCGATCGCTTGGAATCTCGCGTCGCCAGCAGCTTGATCGCAATGTACTCGCGATGCGGCAGCGTGATCGAGGCTAGAGCAGTGTTTGATGACATGGATTCCCACGACGTGGTTTCCTGGACGGCTATCATACTTGGCTACGTCCAGAATGGCGACGCACGAATGGCTCTGGAGCTGTTCGAAAGAATGCTAGCTCAAGGAGTGTGTGATCCAGATGCCCGGGTTTACGTCGTCGCGATCAAAGCTTGCGCCCATCTAGCCACGAAAGAAGAAGCCATCGACGATCTTCCGGGAAGAATGGTGAAGTTACGATCGCTGGAGAGAGGGATGGCTCTCCATTCTCAGCTCGCAAGGAAGAACTGGGACGTAAACAACGTCTTCGTGGCTTCCAGCTTGGTGACTTTGTATCGCAAGTGTGGAGCGATGGTGGATGCTTGGAGAGTTTTCAAGAGGACGATTGCCAGGGCTGATGCTGCTATGTGGAATTCTCTCCTGCTCGGGTACGCAGAGAATGGAGAGCCGCAAGTGACTTTGGATTTGCTGCTGGCTGTGGGTGCCCCGGATCGAGGAACTTATGCTGCGGCACTCAAGGCTTGTTCTTACTTAGCAGCGAAAGAAGACGCTACCAAACTCGATGGTTTCGCGGTAAAGCTTGATGCTCTAGAGAAAGGCATGGCTGTTCACTCGCAAGCTGGGAAGGATGGCTTCAAGCTCGACGCTACTTTGGCCAACACTTTGATAGATACGTATGCGAACTGTGGTGGACTTGTCGATGCAAAGCGGGTTTTCGACAGGCTACCGGATCGTGACACAGTTTCCTGGACAGCTCTGATTCTCGGCTATGCTGAAAATGGAGAGAGCAAGGTGGCTTTGCAGCTGTTTGAGACGATGCAACAGTCGGGTGGCTGCGTCTCAGATCATCGGGTTTTTATTGCTGCAGCGAAGGCATGCACTGATCTTGCGGAGAAAGCTGAGGCCGGAGAAGTTGACATGAAACTGGCGCTCGAGATCGGCATGGCGATACATTCTCGAGCCGGAAAGAGCGAAAGTAAGAACGTCTATCTGGCAAGCTGTTTGATTGAGATGTATTCCAGGTGTGGAAGCATGGTCGACGCTCGCCGGGTTTTTGATGGAGTTTCTCAACATACTGTGGTGCTCTGGAATGGATTGATATCGGGTTACGCGGAGAACGACGAAGGTGATATTGCTCTTCATTTGTTTGTGCAAATGATTCACGGTTTTGATGGCTGTGCAGCAGATGATCGAACTTTTGTTGCTGCTGTCAAGGCTTGCACGAGTCTGTCGTCGAGTGAACAAGGCCGAGAAGTTGGAGGGAGTTTCGTGAAAGTGGCATCACTGGAGAAAGGCATGGCTGTCCACTCTCGAGCTCAAGTTTGCAACGCCGACTCGACAACCTTCGTTAGTAACAGTGTGATTGGTTTTTATTTCAAGGCTGGGTGTTCTCTAGATGCTGAAAGAGTGTTTTACAGGCTGCAAAATCCGGATGCAGTGTCATGGAACAGCATGATACTGGGTTACGCTCAAAATGGCGACGTTGAAGCAGCTCTCAACTTGTTCTCACAGATGCAAGCTATGAAATGCAAAGCCGACGCTCGAACTTACGTAGCTGTTTTAAAGGCTTGCATCACTCTCGCAATAGACGAAGAGAGCACAGAAATCAACGGGAAGCTGACCAAGAAGACGTCCTTGGAAATTGGTTTCGCTGTTCATTCTCAAGCTGCAAAGAGAGACTTCGACAGCGACAATTTCGTGGGGAACAGCTTGTGTGCAATGTACGCAAACTGTGGAAGCTTGGTGGACGCTGTCATGGCTTTCGACAGAATTTCTCGCCGCTGTGTGGTATCCTGGACGACGCTGATGATCGGCTACGCTGAAAACGGCGAAGAAGGACTGGCTCTGGAGGTGCTCGAGTGGATTTTTTCCGAGAAATGCTGCACACCGGACTCGCGAACTTACGCTGCTGCACTCAAGGCTTGCAGCAACCTTGCGACGAACGAGTTAAACGATCGAGCACTAGCGGTGAAAGTGAGAACACTGGAGACAGGGATGGCTATTCATTCTCAGGCAGCGAAGTCCAACTTTGCTCGGGATCTTTACGTGGAAAGTAGCTTGGTGGACATGTACGCCAAGTGTGGAAGCTTGGCGGACGCTCGGATGGTTTTCGAGCGCATGCCATGTCGTGATGAAGTGCTGACAACGATGATGATACATGCGTGTGCTGAGAACGGGCAGGGGGAGGTGGCAATCCAGCTTTTCCAGGAGACTAGAGCTCGAACGAGGTATGGTTGTATCAATGCTTGGACTTTCTCTGCGGTACTAAAAGCTTGCAGTTGTGTTGCAGCCTTGGAGTTTGGGCGGGCTGTGCATGCTGAATTGCTCCAGTTTGGGCTGGAAGGTGACGCTGTTCTTGTCAACAGTCTGGTGGATTTCTATGGTAAGTGTGGAAGCATGATCGATGCTCATATCGTGTTTGATTCGAGCCACAAGAGCGATCTAACATGGAGTGCTTTGATAGCAGGATACAGTCGTCAGGGAGACACCAGTTGTGTGATCGACTTGTTTCAGCAAATGCTACAGGATCAGGACATGAAACCGGGAGGTATCACACTGCTTTCGGTTCTGACCAGTTGTAGTCACGCAGGATTGTTTGAGAAGGGAAAGTCTTACTTCCGGGAAATGCAAGAGACGCACAGAATCAGTCCAGATGTAGAGCACTACCATGCAATGATCGACATGTTTGGACGAGCCAACCAACTGGAAGATGCTCTCCTTATGGTGGAAGCAATGCCATTCAAAGCAGAGGTGATTACTTGGACAACGCTACTGGCTGCATGCGTCAAGTGGAGGAACGTAGAAGTCGGGAAGAAGGCGTTCCAGTCGCTGCTCAAGATAGACGAGAAAAACTGCGCATCCTACGTGCTTATGGCAAACAATCTTCTTGCCGGGTAAGCATTGTCAATGGATAGAGGTGACTTGGGAGGTGGCCTTTCTTGCAGGAAGATTAGAAAGTCCAGCGCCAGAGTTGAAAGCCATTCTCAACAAAATTGTAGTACTCTCGTGATCATACTGGACAGCTGCGCTCTTGTTAAGAATGGCTTTCGAGCCTGCGCTCATCCGCGATACAAAAACGTTTTGCGAGAACTGCTAGCTATGGTATGGACGACTTTGTTTCCATTTCTCTCAATAGCCGCTTAAATCCATTCAACTTATGCCGTTGCAGCGAGTCGGAGCTAGACACTCGAATGGTATCCAACAACATGGAATGAGCGACGTCCGTTCGGCCTCTCTTGCACAGCATCTCAACCAGAAGCTTGCAAGTCGCCGGATCCGGAGCCAGTCGCCTGTCCAGCATCTCAACGTAGTATTTGACGGCCTCGTCCACCAACGCCGCTTTGCAGCAGCCTCTCACCAGTGCCGAGTACACCACCGCGCAAGGTGGGCATCTCTCTCGCAGTATCTTCTCGAAAAACTCGGTCGCTGTTCTCACCTTTCCATTCTCAAACAGTCCTTCCAGCAGCACCGTGTATGTGGTCACGTCCGGAGGAATTCCTTTCGCAACCATGCTCCGGATGACTTGCTGCGCGTCTTGCAAACTCCCAGCCTTGCAGTGCGCGTGAACGAGCGTGGTGTAAGTGACGACACTGGGATTGCATCCCTCTCGCAGCATCTCCTCAAACACCCGACTGACTTCGCTGGTTCTTCCTTGCTTGCAGAGCCCGTCCATGAGCGTTGTGTACGTGAACGTATCGGCCCTCAAGTCGCGAGCTTTCATCTGCTTCACGAGCTCAAACGCATGCTCCAGCCGATCGGCCTTGCACAACCCGCTGATGAGAGCGTTGAAGGTGACAACGTTTGGCTCCGCGTGGTGATCCCTGGAGCTCAACACTTTGAAGAGCTGCAGTGCCTCGCTGAGGTTCCCGGACTTGCAAAAGCCATCGATGAGCGTGGTGTAAGTCACGGCGTTTGGAACGCATCCCATCGAGACCAAAGTTTCCAGCATCTCGTACGCTTCTCTCACTCGCCCGGCCTTGCAGAAGCCATGGATGATCACGTTCCAGGCGACTATGTCAGGTTTGGCCGATTTCTTTTCCACCATGTCGAGCAGGAGCTGATAAGCCTCGTCCACTCTCTGTGCCTTGCAGAAGCCGCGGGCGACGCTGGTGATGGCGATCACGTCCGAGGAGCAGCAAGAGCTCTCCTCGAGAAGCTGGCGAGCTTGGTCCAGTCGATCCATCTTGCAGTAGCACTTGATGATCGCGGTGTAAGTGGTGGCCTCCGGGACGAGCGCAAAGTTCTTCTCCATCTCGTGGAAGAGCTCCAGCGCTTTATCCAGGAGCTGGAGCTCGCAAAAGCCATTGATGAGGATGTTGAGCGTGATGACGCTGGGAGAGCACTGGATCCCGCGGAAGATCGCCATGGCTTGATCCATCTTGCCCGCTTGGCAGAGACTTGCGAGAAGGAGATTGATGTCTCTCAAGTTTGGAACGCAATGCCTTTCTAGCATCTGGTTGTAGCACTCGACCGCTTCGCCCAATCGCCCGGCCTTGCACAGCCCCGCGATGAGCACAGAAAATGTGAATCGGTTTGGCGAGCAGCGCCGCGTGGCTCGCATCTCCTGCTCGAGGAGGAGCGCGGCGTCGAGCGATTGCGCCTTGACGAGCGAGTGGAGGAGGGAATTGTATGTGTAGGTCGAGTGCTTGAATCCCTGCTGCGCTGACGCCCACCTGAAGAAGAGAAATGCGGATGTGGGATCTTGCGCGTTGCGTAGGACGAGCGCGACGGTGCGGTAGTCGAAGCCGGAGCTGTTCATCGTCGCCCATCGCCCAGAGGAACCCTAATCTTGGAAGAACCCTAAAATTTTGGGCTGGGTTTGGGCGGGGTTTAGGGTTTTATGGCCATTTGGGCCATCGTCAAGAATGCCGCGCGCTCCGGGTCTCGGCGATGCAATGCGGCGCGCCTAGCACTCGAAATATGCGATCGCCGGGCATCAGGTATGTGCTGGATGATCGATTCGGGCAAGCTGGGGCTCCAATGCCGCGGCATGGCGGTGATAAAGCCCGATCAGGTTAGACACAAGCACACGGATCACGTCGCGGCTGTGGATTTCTTCGAGGAAGGGATGGATTCCCAGGAGGAGCTGGATGCCGAGGAGGAGCTGGGAGGAGAAGATAAATCGGGTGCATCGGGAAAGAGTCACATTGACAGGGTCGTGTGGTGCATCGACCTTTGCGACTCAGCGTCCGAACTTACATTTAGTCTCAACGCTCTCAAGCACAGCGGCATCAACCTCATGCCTTACGATCTTCCAGCCATTTTCAAGAGGATAAAGCATCCTTCCAAGGCCATGGGCTTCTACAAATGGGTGAAAGACGAGCCGGATCTCACGCTTGCTAGCGAGGCTTATGAGAGCATCGTGAAGATCTTGTGCGATCGAAAGCACTATGGAAGTATGTGGAGCGTTCTGGACGAGATGAAGAGAAACCGAGCCGGGGTGCCAGACTTCGTCTTCTTCACCATCTTTAAGAGCTGTGCTCGAGCTCAGAACTCCACTGAGGCGGCTCACGCTTTCAACAGGATGGCTGACTATGGTTGCAAGCCCAGTGAGGATCTCTACAACAGTTTGATCGCGACGCTTCTCCAGTGCTCGGCTGAGAAGGCCGCGGTGGCTTATATAGGCAGGATGGAGCAGGCACGGTTTCGACTTAACGACGACAACATAAATCTCTTGCGTGTCGTCCAGAGGAGATCGGAGGTTCACAGAGACTACGAAGCAATCCTTGCCGGAGACGTCCCACACACGGTGGAGTTTTGCTGCGAGACTATCCTCAAGCTTTGCAAAGTTTATAAGCTGGACGAAGCTATGGAAGTCTTCCGGTTCATGGCCCGGTCAAGGTTCCACCTTACGCCCGAAGTCTACGAAACTCTCACGAACTATCTCGCGGAGACTGAAAGGAGTGCCGACGCTCTCAAGGTCTTCAAGGTTCTCGTGAAGCTCAAGGACCGGCCGACGTTCTTCACATGCATTTGGGTGGCGAGCTCGCTAGTCATGGATCTCAAGTTCCGGGACGCTAGAATGATCGTGGAGGCTCTCAAGGGATCGAAGTACCGGTTCAAGCTCCGAGAGTATATCACGCGGCTCTGCGTCGCGACGCTGACAAAGGCAACGTGGGACTTGCTCCGCTTCATGAAGTACAGCGGTTACCAGCCCAACCGCGGCACTTACATCGCTTGCGTCCGAGCAGCACACAAACGCCTCAAGAAGCCTCTGGTCGTCCAAGACGTGATTCGCGCTGGTGGCAGCTCGATGCTCCTGCCATCCAATCTCCTCCTCAAGATACTCGCCAACAGCGACCACCGTTACTTATGGGATTTCGTGAGGTTCATGGAGGAGAAGAAGCTCAAGCCGAACTCCTACAGCTACTCGCGGCTCATCAAGGCGTACTACAAGGCGGACAAGATGAAGTTCGCGTGGCAAGCGTACGAGGAGATGAGAAGCAAGGACATGTTTCCTTCCAGCTGGGCTTACGCTTGCTTGGTTCACGACGCTGCTTGGAGCATCAGCGGGGACTATGCAGTGGAGCTGTTCGACGAGGCGGTCGAGAAGCGCGGGCTCCCGCATCCCAGGATGGCCAAGCACCTCATCGTTACGCTGTGCTACCGGGGCTGCTCCGACACGGCTCTCAGGATCTACAAGGAGCTCAAAGCTCGGGGAGCTGTTCTCCACTCGAGCTTGCGAGTACTGCGGTGCCTGAGGACTGTGAAAACGGCTGCGACCCGTGAGCTTCTCGCGGAGATCGAGGAAGACATTCTTCACAGGTGGCAAGTCGCAAGTGGTAAGTGACTTGCCAATTTTTTTTTTCTTTTTCCTGCCCTGTTTTTAGGGCTCCTAATGATTCGACCTTTCTTAGGAATCATGGATAGCGTTTCTTAGCGAGAGGTATGTTTCGCTACTCATTGCATTTGTGAAAATTCTGTCCAGGGAGCATATAGTTGTCAAAAGTTATGCTTTTTCTCACAGCTTTTGTTTCCAGGCCGATCCTTGAGCATGGCAACAGACAGTGCTGCAATTATGGAAACAGCGACGAGAGATGACGATTTGTACACCAAGGATGGGACTGTTGATATTTGTGGGAGGCGTGCGACTCGAGCATCAACTGGATTGTGGAAAGCTGCTGGATTTGTTCTTGGTATTGCAGTTTCTTTCGCATTCGTTTTCTCTTTTTTAATGTTGTGATTTGTTTTGCAGTGAATCAGGCTTTGGTTTCAGTAACTTACTATGGGATTTACAATAATCTCGTGCGCTACCTGACCAATGTTCTCCATCAGAGCAATGCTACCGCGGCTAGCAACGTCAACCTATGGACAGGCACGTCCTCGATCACCGCTTTGATCGGTGGCTTCATTAGTGATTCGTACTTGGGCCGATATTGGACTACAACCCTCTTTCTCTTCGTGTATCTCTTGGTAAGAATAGTTGTTTTTCTTCTTTCTTTCTTTTCTGGGCCGAGTCTAATCTTGTTTCGTGCAGGGTATGATACTCTTGACATTATCAGCGGCTTTGCCTTCTCTGAAGCCTCCAAGTTGCGACACGGGAGTTGATTGCCAGCCTGCGTCACCAGCCCAAACTGGCGTCTTCTTCTTTGCTGTGTACCTCGGGGCTCTGGCTTCTGGAGCATATCAACCTTGCAACTCATCGCTCGGAGCTGACCAATTTGACGAAGAGAATCCAGACGAGCTTCCGAAGATGACAGCCTACTTCAACTGGTTCTACCAGTCCATGACAGTAGGAGCGCTGCTCGCGTCCACTCTCGTCCTCTACACGCAAGAGAACGTGAGCTGGAGTTTTGGATTTGGCATCTGCACGATCGCTATGGGCCTTGCGGTGGTCGTGTTTCTTATCGGGACACCTCTTTACCGCAACCATGGGCCTGGCGGCAATCCTCTCGTTCGAGTTTTCCAAGTACTGGTTGCTACTGTGAGGAAGATGGGATTGAAGAATCCCAACGACGCCAGCCTTCTCTACGAAGTAGCCGATGACAAACCGAGCATCAAAGGCAGCCGGAAGATTCAACACACGACGAACTTGCAGTGAGTTTTCCGTTGCTGCTTCTCTTTCGAGCTTATCAAATAGATGTTTTCATTACTTCCAGGTTCCTTGACAAGGCAGCTATAATACTTCCCTCCGATCTGGAAGAGGTAAATCCGTGGAGGCTGTGCACAGTAAGCCAAGTGGAAGAGGTCAAGTGCATCATTCGCATGCTCCCTATACTCCTGAGCAGCATCGTCTACTCCATTGTCTACTCTCAAATGGCCACGCTGTTTCTGGAGCAAGGCGGAACCATGGATACGCACTTGGGACGCTACAAGATCCCTCCAGGTTCTCTTTCAGTCTTTGAGAACTTGAGCATCCTGGTCTGCACGCCGACTTACGAGTGGTTCCTTGTTCCATTGCTCCGGAGGTTCACCAAGCATCCCAAGGGCCTGACCGACTTGCAACGCATAGGAACCGGGCTCGTCGTGATCATGCTCTCGATGGTGGTGGCAGCGCTCGTCGAGATTCGCAGGCTGGGTGTTGCAAGAGACCACGGCCAGCTCGACTCGCCGGCGGCCGTTCTCCCGATGAGCGTCTTCTGGCTCGTCCCCCAGTACTTTCTCGTCGGAGCCTCGGAGGTGTTCACGTTTATCGGCTTGATCGAGTTCTTCTACGATCAGTCGCCGGATGGGATGAGAGCGCTGGGCAGCTCGTTCCAGCTGACAGCATTGGCGTGTGGAAACTATTCGAGCAGCCTGGTGGTGACCATTGTGAACGGAGTGACTGGGAGACGAGGCCACACTAGCTGGATTGCAGACAACTTGAATCGGGCTCATTTTGACTACTTTTACTGGATGCTAGCAGTGGTAACTGGTATTGATCTCGTCTTCTTTATGGTGTGTGCTTATTTTTACAAGTACATCAAAACAGTTTCATTCTCTAACGAGTAATAAAATCCAGTGTCCTCACACTAAAATGCTATGTAATAGAAATACTTAAGCCAAATATAAAACCTAACTACAATTTCACCTTACATTGAGGTTAGAACCTAAAGATTGTACTTGCACTGAAAAGAAATCTTGCGACTAGAACACCAGCAAGAAATTTTAGGGCTGCATGTGGGCAAGATCAATGCTCCAGGCTTGATAGAGCCACTCTTCCACAATTTCCAGTTAGTGACATGTGGACCATTTGTGATCATTCACCCCTTTTAGGTGGGCATGTAGGTATGAGTGAGGCATGTGCCATTTGAGAGTATGTACACATAAACCCTAAAATCTCAGAGTTGAACACAATTTATTAATAGACAACTTGCAAAATCATTGTTAACTTGATTGGTTTACTGTGCACAACCTTTATGGACTTAACTCTTCCTGGTTGGACAGAAGTATTATATAAATTTAGAAGTCAAGGATATTGAATAATCACATAATTCAACTCTTAATACAAATTTTTTGTATACAAATATTAATCAATAATTAAAAAAGTTTATATACAACTCATATGTTTATATATATTAGTTGCGCATGAAGGTATATATCTTTGCTTTTTATTTATTATATATGATACTAAATTACAATCATCTTGTATTTCAAGAACTGTAAATAAAAAACAATTGGGAGGAGTAGCACAATATTTAATAATAGACCATAGTATTTCTTTTATTTGGGTATAAATAACAAGATTACCATCAGTTTGGATCACAAATGCACATTCATTATAATAATCTTTGTAGTTCTTAGATTTTCATAGTAAATTTTTTCCAGAATAAAGGGAAATCTTACAATTTGATTCTAAAATTAATGTATTTTTTCCATTTGGTGATCTTATAAACCTGTTTTTATAAAGTTTATTATTTTTGTAGGCAGAGTTTAAAGTGGTTAAACTACTATCACAAGTCTCATATATCAACTTAACAACATCATCTAGTTGATACAATAAATCTTTATTTATATAACGAAAATAAGGATATTGCAGATGATATTTTTGACAAATAATTTTACATGTGCTAGAATGGGCATGCCGTATATCATTAGAAACAATATTAAGTAAACTTCTAAATCCGGTTCTTATTGTATTTCCATCAATGCAATTATTATTATTATTTTCTTCAAAACAATTTGGAGATATATTTTCATTACACTCAATTTGTAAAACAGCAACCCTAAATATAAGATCACCTGACTTTCTATCTATATAATTTATTAGATATCCATGAGGTCCTCCAGATATTAACTTTGAGACTATAGAATTATAATTATCTAATAGCATTCTAGCTTCTTTATCACTCAAAGTATTATTTATACCCCAGATTACATTAATTCCTACACATGTACATGCTATAATTTGTAGATGAATAATAAGAAATCTTTACTCCTATTCATTTAAAGTATATCTTTCCTTTTATTTTTAAAATACTAATTATGGACCTATATAGCTTACTTTTCTAACACTTTTAAAACCTAAGCTAATTGAGTTCGACAATTTATTAGTAAAGTAAACGGTTTAATTTAGAAATAAAAATATTCTCTATATATGTCACCCAAAATATTAAGTAAATTACTTGTGTAATCCTTTATATATATTTATATATATATAATGTTTAGTGTTATGTCCTAAGGCTCCTTAAAAGTCTTGAGGGTCCTGGGTTCAAAACCTTATACTTCTAGTTTGTCACTAAAGGTTTTAAAACATGACAAGAATTTCATTTTGAACAAGCATTTAATACCAAGAAAAAGAAGAATGAAATGCACACTTTTATTTGAGACATATATTATATTAATTTTAAAGAATACATGTTTTCAAACAGTCAAATGGACACACACCAAAGCCACATTGGATAAGTTTTAATATTGGTTTTAGTTCTTTTTCACTATTGTATGAGTTGGATAGTAAATTTGCTTTGGTTCTAGTATATTATACTAACTCAACTGCCACTTGCAAAATTTGCAACACTTTTTTTTAATCTTTTAATATGCAAGTCATCCATGTGTTCAAATCTAATGTCAAGCTCTCACTGTGGTAAAGCATATATTGAGTTAGAATCTTATGCTTCTAAATGGGCACCACAAAATCTAAAAAGAGTCATATATACTTGGTTTCATACATCAACTTACAGTGGACGCTTTCCAGGGAGGATTCGTAGATAGCATGGCTACAATCTCCACAGTGATGGCCGAGGCACACTCACTCCACAAGGATTGAACAATCAAGTAACATCACTTTTAACTGCACCACAGAGCTTTCTTAGCTTGGTTGAATCACCTTAGTCTTTTGCTTGAGTGTACAACTCGGCTGAAACTGAGAAGTGTTGACCATGCTCCCATGCCACTGATGCAAACACAGTGACGCCCACCACCCTCTCCAAAGCCAAGTGTTGTTAGAACATCAACCATGATAGATCAATCAACACTAACTTTACTGGGAACAATCTTCCACAAAGAGAGTTGTGCAAGTGTGCACCATTGGATCTGGCAACATAGTAAAACTATCATCACCTTTAAAAATTTTCCATTAAGTAGTTTACCGTTACCCTTAAAGTTTATTTTTCTATCTTTAATGTTGAAAACTGACAGGGAAGGCCTAGCAAGACTGCCAAAACATGATGCTCAAGCTCTCAAAGCCTGAAAGAGAACCTGGAGGGATCTTGTAGCGTTCCAAGTGCGTGGTTCCGCCTTGCTCATGGCCATTTCAGACTAGACGATGCGAATGATGGCTTACTGCGGACAGCCTCCACGGATTTAACTCTTCCTGGTCGGAGGGAAGTATTACATAAACTTAGAAGTGCCATGGCCTCAAGGATGACAATCAGCCTGGAAACAAAGCTGTGAGAGAAGAAAAACTTTCTGGATGAGATTAAATTTGAGTACCTCTCGTTGAGAAACGCTGTCCATGATTCCTGGAAGTCGAATTAAGTTCAGCGAACACTTGACGCAACTGGCAATCCAAATAACGTTGCCATTGATCCTTCAAAAACTAGAAGAGTTCTCTTAACTTCCAGCTATGGAATTCTCAAAGATAAAATAGTTTTAATTTCTTTGCCGTTTGCCTCTGAAACGGGAACATTCATGTCCAGTACCTCTCAACATCAGGCTGTTGTATGTCTGGCTCCAACCAGGAGCCCGATAATCAACAAAAGAAAGAAAAAACACAAAAAAAACATAGAAGAAATAAATTCTTAATTCTTCTTTTTTTCTTTTTCACATAATCAAATCTACTCCTCTTATATTTGGCGTTCATGACCATTAACATATGCAATAAATACTTAGAGCAAATTGATCAAGTTTGTCCATTAAATTTTACAATTGCCACTACAAACATTACAAATAGTATAGCTTTCTCTGTCAAATTCTATAATTTTGTAGAGATGTAGCCACATCGCATGATGCAATTTGCTGTCCATAAAATGTACATCCATTTTATGTTTTGTAATATTTGGATGGGCATCCATGAAGACTATCCTGTTCTCCTCATAGGCCAACAGGGCACAGTGATCTTGACAACAAGATCATGGAGTTGCAGAAAGCAATGGTTAATGTGTTAGTTGAAGGGTATATTAAGGTTAAGGGAACTTAATTTACGTGGAGTGAACCTCAAGAGAAAGCATAGCATAGTGTCAATGAAGTTAGGCCTCTTATCTTTGCTGTTTAGAGCTAGGTTATAATTTTCATGGCTGCAAATTAAGAATAGGAGACTACAAGATAGAAAACTATAGATCAACCCAAAATTGGTGTTGATTCATTTCAAGAGTTTATGCTAAGATTTTCCCTATCACTATCAGTATTAATTTAAAAGTATTTTAGATAAAATTAGAACCAAAACCAGACAGAGAGAGAGAGAGAGAGAGAGAGAGTTTCACACACAGCACAGCACTGGGTATGTATACTTAGTTGCAATTCCTACCCTTTGGATCAATTGATATGAAACTACTTTCCACATATAGCCTTTCATGTTGTTAGTAAATTGCTAAAACACCTGTGTTTTTTTCATTTTAATTTTAGATGGTGGCAATGCAATTGAGATTGGCATGGCAGCACAAAGGACAAGGCCATGAGTGGTCTTATTCAAAGCATAAGTAAAAGTCAAATTTACTATTTTAGATTGCAGGATTGGTGGTTTATGGTATGTATAGCAAACTATGCATCAAATGACATGTTGCAACATTTAGTCCCTTTATTGTGTTTAATCCTAATATTATCAAAGGGTACACACAAAATAGATATGAGCAAAAGCTATTCTTTAGTTGTTTTATAATGCATATGTTTCTTGCCAAGATGTACATGTACAAGATAGAAACAATGGAAACAAAATACAAAGAAGTGAATTGGTCTCAGACTTGATTTTAGTTCAGGTAGCAGCATAATATGATAATTTATAGGTTTGCAAGGTAGTATAGAATAATTTCATTCTAGTTCACATTTTTAGCACTATGGCCTAGGGCCCAACTTATAGCCATGGTACTGAAGGGGATAACTAGTTGTCTGCAAGCATATTGGTTTCTTCATCTTCTGTACCTTCTGGGATGATGTGGGTGGGTGAAAGAAGTCTAGGAGTATTTAATCCGCAATGCCAATTAAGGCAGCATCGACATGATCGATATATAGGTCTTCTGGGATGGTCAAGAGCCCTCACCTGGATGACATGAGTGTCTTTTCGAGGACAATATGAGGTGATCTAAGCAGCAGACAAGCCCTGGCACAACGTTGTGCATGATTGCTATAAATGTGTTTTTGTCACCGCTTCATTGCTCTTATGTTGGAAATTGTGTGGGCTTTTATTGTTGTCACCAATTCGCATGAAACTATATAGTGTGTGGCACTGCAAATAATAGCATGCATGTACAATATACATATGTGCCAAAACAAAAATAAAATATCAGGCATTAGATCAAGATAATAGAATAAAAAAATGCTCTACAATTAAATAATCACCCCTTTAGCTAATTAACAAGATATATTTGTGACTGACAAGTGGGGCATGGATTTTGAGGAAGAACCAAAGTTTGAAAGACTATGGTAGGCTAACATTGTACAAATGGGTTTACATACATGGTCTTTACATGGTCCTTTTCTTGTGTTTAAACCCAACACCTTCCTCCAAGTGTAATCTAAGGTGGATTAAGTAGAAGTGGTCCTCTGGATCTCAGCATTGTATCTCCTCCTCGTGCTGCTGCTGGGGACTTCTAGAGCCATGTGGGACCTGATGGGCCATCCTTGCCGAACATCGGACACCGTTGGTGTCCAATGTTCAGCATGGAGGCCTAGTTGGGGTAATTCTATGTACATTTCTCCATCGTTCCCTAGGGACCATACAAATATTGGGCCCACAGCACAACCTACCATAGCAGATCGCATGATCCAACTCCGTGTCACCACGTTGTGCTGCTGGGTCACGGGGCTTTTGGACTTGTACATCAGATACCATCCCATCTGGCTTTCCCTTTGCCTTCAGCATGGCATGCTAGAGTCTGACCACTTGGAGCACAATCTAGCAGGTTTATTGTTAAACCTGGCCCAGTTGCGTGTTTCCCAGGTAGCTTGGAGGCGTGTGTCCCCGAAGACTTTCGGACATAATGACATATTAAAACTATCATCACCTTTAAAATTATTTCGATTAGGATATTTATATTTCCATTAAGTAATTTACCATTACCCTTAAAGTTTATGTTTCTATCTTTAATGTTGAAAACAGACAGGGAAGGCCTAGCAAGACTGGTAAGAGCTTGTGGCCACTCAAGAGACCTTGCTCAAGCCAAGCTACTCCATGCAGCCATCCTTGACAGCAGCGAGCACAATCAAGACAGGTACTTGGCCAATTTGCTCGTCCAAATGTATGGTAAGTGTGGTAGTGTGGCCAAAGCCCGTGAGGTCTTCGACTCAATTGAGCCCAAGAATCAGTTCTCATGGGGAATCATGCTGGAAGCATACGTCCACAACGGCTATCTCCAGGAATCGAAGTGGATCTTCAGCCAGATGCCCGATAAAAACGTTGTCTCCTACACCGCGATGATCGTGGTGCTCGTGAAATTTGGATGTTTGGAGGAAGCAAAATCGACGTTTGATGCCATGAGCCAAAGGGATGTTCTTCCTTGGAACGCAATGGTCTCTGCATATGCCCAAATTGGGCATTTTCTAGAGGCAAAGAAACTCTTCGATAGCATGCCACAGTGGAACTGCTCGTCGTGGAATGCGCTTCTCGCGGGCTACGCAAGCCAAGGCCTGGCGGCGCGATCTCAAGAAATTTTTGTCATGATGCCCGAGAGAGATACCGTGTCTTGGAACAGCCTCGGGCAGGCCTACTGCACGGCGGAGGATCTGGCGGGCGCGAAGTGGGCGTTCGATCGCAACCCAGCTCGCGATGTAATCTCCTGGACGGCGATGGTGGGCGCGTTCGCTCAGGGCGGGGAGACCCGCCATGCGAAGCTCGCGTTCGATCGCATGCCGCAGTGGAACTTAGTCGCGTGGAACGTGATGATCACGGGGTATGCGCACAGCGGAGACGACGATCAATCTCAATCCGGGTTTGGGCTGCGCCAGATCGCGGAGCCGGAAGTGGGCACCAGCCGCGCGATCGGGGACGCGTATGATTCGTGCGAGAGCTCGATCGAGGAGGTGAAAGAGCTCTTCGACGGCATGAGCGAGAGGAATCGCTCGTCGTGGAACGCGATGATCTCGGCCTGTGCTCGAGGTGGGCGAGTGGAGGAAGCCGCCCAGATCTTCCACTCCATGCCCGAGTGGGATTCCATCTCCTGGAACGCGATGCTGAGAGCTCTGGCCGACAATGCCCGGCTCAAGCAGCTAGAGATCTTCTTCTTCCGTGACATGCCCGTCACCAACGTTGTCTCGTGGACGGTGCTCATCACGGCGTATGCCCAGGCCGGGTTTGTGGACGAGGCGAAGGTTTTCTTCGAGGAAACGCGAGAGAGGAACGAGGTGACTTGGAGCGCAATGGTGGCGGCGTATGCTCGGAATGGGTATATGGAGGAGGCCGCGAGTTTGTTTGACACTATGCCCGGCTGGAACTTGATCTCCTACAACGTCATGGTCCAGGGGTACGCTCAAGCCGGATCAATCGAGGAATCAAAGCAAGTCTTCGACCGGATGCCCGAGTATAACGTGGTTTCATGCACGTCTTTGCTCGATGGATATGCCGAGCGGGGGCGTATCGATGAAGCATGGAGGGTTTTCAGTGAAATGGTGGAGAGAGATATCATCTCCTGGAATGCCCTCTTCACGGCTTTGGCTCAGAACGGGCGGATCGAGCACGCGAAGCTGGCGTTTGAAAAGATGCCAATGAGAAGCATGGTCTCGTGGGCGTCTATGATCGTGGCTTACGCGCAGAACGGGAGGTTTAGCGAGGCCGAGAAGATGCTCGAGAGCGTGCCCGAGGCACGGAAGTCCTTGTCCTGGATTGCTTTGATCGGGGCTTACTCACAGAGCGGTGATCTTCAAGGAGCCGAGGCTGCGTTTCGCAAGATTCCCAGCAGAGATGTTGTGTCCTGGAACGTGATGATCGTAGTTCTGGGACAGCGGAAGCATCTCTCTCGAGCAAAACGCTACTTCGACAGGATGTCTCACTGGAACTTGGTCTCGTGGACGGCCTTGATCGTGGCATTCGCTCAAATTGGGGATGTGAAAGAAGCAAGGATGGCATTCGACAACCTACCCGAGGAGCCCAACACTGTGACATGGACCGCTCTACTGGCGGCATATGCCCAAAACGGGCACACCATCCAGGCAAAGGCTGTGTTTGACGAGATGCCCGAAAGAAATGAGGTCTCCTGGAGTGCAATGAATGCGGCATATGCCCAGGCAGGGCATTTTGATCGCGCCATCGATCTCTTTCAGGAGATGAACCTCGATGGAGTGAAGCCGAGCGAGATCACCTTCATAAGCACGCTCATCGCTTGCAGCCACAAGGGCATGGTGGAAAAGGCCGTGAAGTTGTTTGTTTCGATGGTTGGCGATCACGGGTTGAGAGCTGCCAGGGATCACTACTGTTGCATGGTGGATGTTTTTGGGAGAGCTGGGCAGCTCAGGGATGCGGAGGACCTGATCGAGACCATGCCTTTCATGGGGGATGATGTTGCTTGGGGAACTCTGCTGGGAGCTTGCAAGCTTTACAAGGATCCTGACCGAGCCGAGCGCGTTGCAAAAGAGATGGTGGAAATGAATCTGGGCGATGGTGCTCCGTACGTTCTCCTCACAAGCATTTACTCCGAAGCTGGTAAACAAGATGAGATGGCTGCTCTCGGAGAAACCAAGGGGGGGTAATGATGCACTTGCTTGGCTTACTGCGCACAGCCTCCACGGATTAACTCTTCCAGGTTGGAGGAAGGTATTACATAAACTTAGAAGTGCCATGGCCTCAAGGATGACAATTGGCCTTTAAACAAAGCTGTGAGAGAAGAAAAACTTTATGAATGAGATTAAATTTGAGTAGTACCTCTCGTTAAGAAACGCTGTCCATGATTCCTGGTCGTCGAATTAATTGGCCCGGCGTTCAGTGAGGACTTCACACAACTGGCAAACGTCCATTTCAGTAAAACGTCATACAAGTTGTGTAGTATTTGTATCCTGTATGAACATGGCTCTAACTTGGTTCAGCACCTCTCAACATCAGGCTGTTTTAACCAGGAGCCTGATAATCAATAAAAAAAAAACAAAAACAAAGAATGAAAACGTGATTGTAGGTTTTGGGGGAAGGTATACTCTACTTTTTTAGTCACCCATAAACAATTCAAGCACAGATGTGTTTTAACTTGATATATCTTATAGTGTAATACAATTTTTTGCGACATTACCCCCTCATCAATCTGTTGCTATGATAAATAAAAAGATCTCTTTTGCAAAGAGAGAATTGTGTTACCTCTACATCGGCAAAGATTGTTGGCTCGATGTAAAAACCGCGAGATCCAATGCGGCAGCCGCCAGTAACCAGCCTCGCTCCCTCACGCTTTCCAATCTCCACTTACCCAAGCACTCTGTCAAACTGTTGCTTGTCAACCTGTGCAATCCACCGTGCTTAGTTTTCTTCTCCATTGTATCCATTGTGTCCATCTCACTCAACAGCTTGGAGCTAGAAGGGCCAATCTCTGCTGCCACGTGCTTGAGGAGCTTGATCTCAACAGCCACACCTACCTTGAATTCTCTCATGGGAGGATTGATCTTTGTGGGTGGGTAGCTTAGGAAGTTTGACCTCTGGCTTGAATCTCTAATGACATCCAGCATGTATAATTACACCAGCATGTGCACCACCACCAAAGTCTCAACCACCAAAAGAAAAGTAGCTAACAAGAAAGCCTCCAGGGAGGCCAAACAGATAGAGCATGTAAGTATATCTAGTTAGTTAGATAGGTACTTTTTCTTATTGCTGACACTTTCATCCTTTACGAATTTCTTCTTTGAGTCTTAACTAGCAATGGGCAAGATCACCAGCTTGTTCTTGGCAGAAACAACCTCTTAGTAGCATTGTGGCAATTGGATTTAAGCAACAATCTCTTGTCCAGCCCCAGTGCCTAGCCTCCCATGTTCACTCTCAGATGCAATTAGTTTGTGTCTTTGCCACACCAAAATCTTGAAGAGCCAAGAAAACCATAAAAAAAGGGCACTCACTGATCATTCGCAACAAGACTTTACAATTCTTTACACTCTCTTGTACATGCCAAGCTTCAAGGATCATGAATTTAATTGAATCAAAAAAAGAGGAGATAACATATTCGCATGAAGTGTTTGTACATATGGCATGCCCTTTACATGTGGCATGTCCCATACAAGGCACACAATCATGTTTAAATTATTATTATAACAACTGAAATGTGATTGAGTGCAATTGAAAACAAAAAATAAACATCCACACATATGTAAATAAAACATGCACCTATGGGCAATCATATATTTCTTGTGCTTGTTTATGTGTTTTTTTCCATTATCAATCTACTCCTCTAATATATAGTGTACAATTTATCCAAGTATCAACATATGTAATAAATAATTCAATTAGAGCAAATTGCCTTGAGTTGAATCAACACTAGTCTTAGACTACCATTGCTACTATGAGCCTTTAAAATAAATATAACCACTGATCCCCTTTGCTTGTGCTTCTTCCAAGATCACTACACCCTCAAGGGCCTATGAGGAGGACAGGTAGAGGGGATAGTGTTCATGGGCTTACTATCAACCCTATCTAGTGAATGGGGCATGGGATGGGTACGGGTCATACTATGCCCACCCCATGCCCATTCAAATATTACAAAATTTAAAATGGGTTTACATGTTCATAAACAGCCAATTACATCATGTATATCTACAAGGTTGTAGAATTTAATAATGAAAGTTATACAATTTCTAAAGTTTGAAATAGTTGATGTAAATCTGTGGCAATTTTAAAATTTGATAGACAAGCTTGATCATTTGTACAAAGTGTCTAACTCTTATACTAAACCTTTTCTCTTTGGCTAACACACCCCATAGATGACTAAATCCAAAATTTGTGATTAGACTACTACCTAGTTGATGTGTCTACAAGCTTATTGCATTAGCTTAGCCTACCACCTACACCTGACATATCACCAGCCTGGATTGTGCCTAGCCTAAGCTTGAGTAAAAGTCTAAGCCACATTCCTTGACCCTAAAAGGACGAGTGTACAAGACATATCAGAGGATGGGAAGGAAGAAGAATGTGAAGAATGAGGACAAGAAAACTAAGAAGGATTAAAAGATGCCTATAAAAACTGCAAAGCATGAAAACATTGTAGAAAACTAAATATATATATTTAGAAATAGGCAAAACCGGAGTATAGCCATGCCATATAGGTTAAGATGGTTAGCATCTTGGTTTATATTTTATTTTTTTAATTTCTCTCAATAACTTTTAGTAGCACTTGTTATGACAATTTTCCCCATTTATTCTCAAAGTTTGTGGATATTATGCATTTTATATATTTTTTCAAGCCATGTATACATTTTCTTGAACCACCATTTATGACATTCTTCAATTGACATAATGTTATAAAACATTATCTTTCCCATTTGTAATGGCATGTGTTTCAACTCTATTCTTTGTACAAAATGATCTTGTTCCAATAGAAGTTGATGTTGCTTTTACCTATGTTCAAAGACAAGGATGAAACATGGTTGTGGCTGTGATGTTTGTTGTTATGTATTTAGTGAGGTTTGGCTACACATATTAGTATTGTCAACATTTACTAAATGGGTGTCCTCCATGTTTTGGGTGAATGCCCCATAATACATCAACATTATATTGGTGTTGGTGCAATAAAAGTTCTTAACACAAAGGTTCTTCTGAAAAATGAGTGGAGGGTTCTTATGCAAATAAGCTAGTGATCCCTTCATCCTTTTTTTGGGAGTACTATCAAAGGGTTTATTTAGTATAGTTCCTATATTCATTTTTCAAGTTTATTTTTATAATAAGAGATCTTTTGTTATTCTAATTGTATTGGTCAATATATTATTTTTTATTGCTCGGCTTGTTGTTATACATTGCTATTTACATTTGTGTTGTGTAGCAAAGCTAGTCTTCATTCTCTATAGCAATAACTATACACATATGTATATGTAGGATAAAGCAAATCTAGCTATGCAAATGGGTAATCTCAAGATTAAGTTTTAATAATTGTGGGTAGAGTTAAATCAAGTTTTTAACATCATCTTTATTATTGTTGCACATGCGATTTTGGGTATCAAAAAATACTTAGTAGCCAGTCCTTATAGACACTATTTCCTTACTGCCATGATGGTAGGAGATCAGTACTATTGATTCCTTTCATTAGCCCCTTTTGTCCAAGTGTTGGTAAATTGAGTTTAATATTTATACTTAGCTAGATGAATATAAGGTAAGAACTTTTATGTGTTTCTTGATGAGCATTCTTGATTTAGCTTTTATTTCTCTTTTGCTTTGTCTTGCACTAGTTTAGCAAGAACCCTTGCATATTAAATCCAATCCCTCAATATCATTACATGATAGCTTACCGTGTCTGCCAAATACCCTTACTATCATGCCTTATGTGTTGGTTCCGTTCCAGATTTATATATTATTTATAGTAAATATCTAGATCCACTCAAGAGGCATGTCTATGAGAAGTAGAGTGTCGTAAACCCTATAGTGTTGTTCTTCTTGATTCACAATCTATGCTATATATAGTAAGTTTCATGCTTGTCCCAAAGACTAACTCTTGGTACTAAAAGTGACTAAGGGTGAAAGCCTAAAGCATGTGTTCCTTAAGGAGGGGGGGTGTTGTGGGGGGTTCTAAATGTATACCATGGATAGTGTTTGGAATGCATGGCCAACTACTTGAGACATTAGTTTGGCTTTTGCTAAGATTTCAAGTTTCTCAACTTCTATAGAGTTAAACATACTTGTGATACACCACCCTAGATTTGAAATCTTCATTGTGTCACTCCTTGTTCTACATTTGGCTTGGGTTTAAGCCCAAGCTCCATGCTGCTCTAGTCAGTGGGGTACTCACCTTCTCACGTTAGGCTATTAGTATGCCAAAATCGTGTTAGACATCATTTGACATTGTTTTGCATGTAGGTGTTAGATAAGAGTTAATACTTGTGGGATTGAAAGTGTACTAAACCCTCATTTTGTAATGTAATGGGCTTGGAGTTCGGATCCAAATTTAAATGTGCTACATTTAGTATCAAAGCAATTATTTCAGTGATTCCCATCCAACTTTTGTTGGAATTTTTAACTCAAGTTGCATATATAGAGACTTTTTTAGTAGATCTGAAGCGACTTGTATTGGATTAGTTAGATTGCACTATTTGGTAAGAACGTTGTATGCATATTTAGTTATTGATAGAGGCATGCATGCAATTAGTAAAATGGTGAAAAGGAATTGTATTGATGATGTTAAAACCTTTAGACGGGCGAATCGAGAAAAGAAAACTCCTGTTAGAGATGCCATAGAAAAGGTTGAGGCTAAATTAGAAGAGGAAGAGCTCAATGTTATGGCATTGCAATGTATGGCTCAAGACATTAAGATAAAAAATTTGCTAAAGGAAGCTCACAAATTGAAGAAAGACAATAAAAAGAGGAAGAAAGAAGTTGAGGCAAATAAATTAGCAAAACCTAAGCAATCAAATTCCTCTTTAAGTGCTAAGGATGCTGAAGTTCTACAACCACCCTCAATTGCATGAGTTTCAAAGTTTAAGCCTTTGAAACCACCCAATTTTATAGGCATGTGGGACTATTAGATTTTGGAAGATTGGGTTTACGATATAGACAATTATTTTGTAGCAGCAAATGT